ATTGATTCAGTGACTGGGGTAATCAGGATGGGTGTGTCAGAGGCAGTGCGGTTGGCACAGGATAGAGCAGGGTTTAGGACTGTTGTACATAGGGTCGCTATGAGTTGCAAACGGCACATAGCAACAACAGCAACAAACTGATAGTTTATGATAGACATAACGTTTAGGACATGTGAACTCAAAGGGAAAACAAGAGCCACTATTCAGTGGTGCTGTTCTTTAGTGGTGTTCTCTAGAATGGTATTCTTATTCATTTTAAGCATTAAAGTGTAATTGAGGGGGAAAAAAATTAACTTGTTTTGAGTTACTTCCACACTCAACTTTAAAGAACAGAGTCTTGATACCCAAGCCAAACCCACTGCTATCAGTTTAGTTCCACTTCATTGTGACCCTCCATCAGGTTTCTGAGGCTGTAAATCTTTATGAGAGAAGTCTGCCCATCTTTTTCCTGTGGAGCAGCTGGTAGATTTAAACTAAAGACCTTTGTTTATCAGCCCAACAAAACTTTGCCAGCAGAGCTCCTATAGTAGTTGATAGGTGCATTATAATATTTAAAAGAGATATTTAGTATTAGAACTACTTAATTTAAAAAATTCATAAGTTTCTGGGAAGCACATAATTTATGGGATGGAATCTTCAGTTTGTGTTATTATTAAGTGGATTAAAAATAGTTCTTAATAGGATGTTAGTAAGATTTAAACTTAAGTTATAATGTTGGGGGCTAAGTTAGCGTGGCCTGTGTTTTTGTTACTATTACCATCCAAAGAAGCACATGTATAAAAGATAATTAGAAGACAGCCAAAGACATTTTAGATACTTCATGTGTGCTTTTAATTCCTTTCGTTTTTATGTTGGGCTGTTGTGGTGTTATATTTATTTCATCAATATTTGAGTATGTAAAAATGACTGGAGCAGGCAGACTTCTTATTTTTACAGAAAAGTTTTTTCATGGAAGAGATGGACATTAAAACATGTAGCCACATCGACAGAAAGATAATAGTCTTGAACAGAAAACGTGAGGATAGGGTTATTTTTCTTTTTCTTTTTTTTTATTTGTTTTACCATATCATCTGTGCATATTCAAATGGAATTAAAATTCTAAATGTTTCTCCATGAAGCTTATTTAGTTGTCTACAGCACAGGAGGGGAAGACCCTCTATGAGATGGATTGATTCGGTGACTGGGGTAATCGGGATGGGTGTGTCAGAGGCGGTGCGGTTGGCGCAGGATAGAGCAGGGTTTAGAGCTGTTGTGCATAGGGTTGCTATGACTCGGAAACGACTCGACGGCACATAACAACAACAACAACAACAACACATACTTCACTGTTCATTATCTTTTTAACTATATTTAAGTAAAATGACTACTGCTTTGTTTTTCTGAATAATGCACTTTTTTAATTGAATTTCCCTTCAAAATAGTTGGATGCAGAGAATTCTGCCAACTCCTTCATTCTCTAAAAGGAACCATAGAAACATACTGACCTGGTTCTTTAACTTTGTGCCTGATCTGCATTTGACAGTGGCATTCACCACTGAACTTGGAAATTTATGCAGCATCTTCCCAATATGTTAAGAATACAATAATCTGTTAGTGAGGAATATGTCATGATTCTGAAGCAGAATGTTGATATTAAGTAGAAAAATATTATTAAATACAACTTCCTTCACTGCCCCTTTCATCCCCCTCAAAAGAGAGGTACTCAAGCATATGTATCTTACCATTGTAATTGAGATCCTTGAGCAAGTGGATCTTCTTGACTCAAGCTCTGCTATCAGATCAGATCTTTCCTGATCTGGTAAGAAAGCATCTGCTTATAAACTGAACAGGCAGCAGTGAATTCAGCCTAGATAGTTTACCATCTACTGTAGGAGGAGAGAGCAGCTTTAAGAGTAGCTGAATTAGGGTCACACCCTTATTATAGTCTTAACGGAAAAGCTTTAGGCTCATCTAATCATATTGTGATAATACAGTAAAGTTCAGGTTGCAAGAGTTGGGTTCCAGAGTTTGTGGATAAAGCAGTGATGAAAATTACCCTTGGAAATCTCTCTGGAAGGTACATGTTAGAGATTTAATATCTCTCAGGAGGTTTTCGGAAGTCTTTATTTGAGAGATCTGTGGCTGATGCTGTTGTTTGATAAATGAGCATCAGATGAAGTTTACTTTGGCTTAGGGAAAATGAGTGAAGAGTATACTTTTAAGTACTACAATTTTCTGGACATTAAATATATACTGAGAAATGTGTAGAAATTGTGTTAAAGTGAAGGAACGTGAGACAATGAGGTTCTCATCACATGTGGGTTAAGTGAGATGATTGAACAAAATCATCCCTTGATTTATGTCTCATCTTTGCTCTTGCTGAGTGCAACTGTTTTTGTGGGGTTTTTTGTTTGTTTGTTTTGTTCTTAATTTTTTTTGTTAGGTAGAAAGCATTGAGGAAGATCTCGTGGTATAGTCTGAAGTGAGCCGCGCTAATCTAAAAACTGCACTTTTCTGGTGATTCAAATCCACCAGCAGGCTCTAAGGAAGAAAGATATGCAATCTTGGCCTGTGTGATTTATAGCTCCCCGAAAATCCACTGGAAAGTAAGCTGTGAGCCAGCACTGATTTGACGGCAGTGCGTAAGCATGGGAGTAAGAACACATGTTACGGATCCAGCTGGCCTTGGTTCCATCTAGCTCTGTTGCTTACTAATTGTATAACTGGTTATACTCTGCACCTCAATTTTATCATCTCTGAAATAAGAATAATAGTGACCAGTGCATATGTTTGCTTTTAATATTGAGCTCCTGCTGTATGCTGAACAATATTCTAGGCCCATGGGCTCTAGCAGTTAAACAGTAGACAAAAATTGCCTTGAAATTCCTTACATTGTAATGGGAGACAACAGATAAAAGAGATGTATAAACATAATTAAATTGAAATAGTAGTAAAAACCAGGAAGAAAACAAAACATAGTCTACAGACTATTGGAATAAGAAGGGCTTAATTGGCTGAGCTTTTAATGATCAGCTTCTGGTTTTTGAGATGACACTTTGAGACAGAAATGATGTAAAGATTTATGGCTAGTAGTATCATGGGCTAAGGGGCCAGTTTTAGAAGATCTTAATTTGTATTAGTTTATATTGTTACTTCCCTTAGAAAATTAGCATTGAAAATATAAATTCACATTAATAATATTATTTACTATTCTGAAGAGACATCTCCTCTCTGGTCTTTGAATACCCATGTCTGTTCTCCTAATTGTTAGAACTACATATTTGTTCTTGATTTGTTTTTAAGCTTTTCTTCCCCTAAAAGTTTAGTCAAGATTATGTCTTTTTTTTAATGCTGTACTGTCTAATTGCAAAATAAGAAAAGTCACTTTAAACATTAAAACACATTTTTCTCTTCTTTTATAATTGAATTGTTCTCTGTTTAAATAAACTATAGCTAGTGATTGAAATATCTTTCTTCATAGTTAATCCTGAAAGAAGTTGACTCACTATTGTATGTCGACACTGATGTCCTTTTTTTACGACCCATTGATGATATTTGGTCTTTACTAAAGAAATTTAATTCCACTCAAATTGCTGCTATGGCACCAGAGCACGAAGAGCCTCGGATAGGATGGTATAATCGCTTTGCCAGACACCCATACTATGGTAAAACTGGAATAAATTCTGGAGTGATGCTAATGAACATGACTCGAATGAGAAGGAAGTATTTCAAGGTAAGTTGACTAATGTTTCTCTTTTCCCTTCTGTCATACTTGATTTCCAGGTAGGTTTTGTTTGATCAAAGACCAAATGAAAATACTTAAGAACTTTTTTTTTTTTTTAAAAAAAAATCTAGATTAACTAAAGAAAGTTATATTTTTATTCTGTTAGAAGGAAAATTCAGTAGACAGATGAAACCACATTGCATTAAAATAATGTAGTAAGTAGCAGAAATCATCTACCTAAATTGTCATTAGAAGCAATGTTCTTTAACCTTGTGATGCAACTATAATACTTGAAGCTATAAAGTATGATGTATACTGAGTGCAACACAGTGCTGATTAAGGAGATGGATTCTGGATCCTGGTTCAAACTTGAATACCTCAGTCCTTGTGTGGTAAGTTTTGAACATCTCTGAGCTTCAGTTTTCTCATTTCAAAAATGGAAACACTACCAATATGTCTTAAAAGGTTTTCATTTCTCATTTTTGGGCATGTTGCTAGAAGAGGTTATTCCTTAGAGAAGAACATCTTGCTTGGGAAAGTGGAGGGGCAGTGAAGGAGAGGAAGACCTTTGACCAGGTGGTTTGTTAGGGTGACTGGGACAATGAACGGGACTATTTCAGAGATTGTGAGGATGGCATGGAATAGGATAGTGTTCAGATCAGTTATTCACAGGTTGCTCTGAGTCTTGCTTGATTCATCAGCATCTTACCAACAACAACACATGAGTTACAACAATGTCTGACATGATAAATGTTGTTGACTGTTTGGTAATTTTGGTGCTATGGGAAGTTAACTTCTTAAGAAAGTAGCTTATAAACTTTTTTAAAAAAAAACCCAAAACACAACAACCTTAAATTTTAAAAGAATACTTCTCGTATAAAATCAGTGGCTATTTGAACTCCCAGGCTTTGCATTTTGAATCCATGACTACATTGTACAGTTTAACAGAGTTCCATGTGGACACATTGTAAGTGGTTAAGTTGCAAGTCACTGGTTCAAGCGTGTGTGAAGCTCTGCCATGTGGGCATTGATTAACTACTAGCCAATTAGTTAGCTTCTCAACTATAGTTCTAAATTGTAAAACAGAGAATAAATGGATTTATATCCTGTAGTTGTTGTTAAGTGCTGTCGAGTTGCAGGCGACTCATAGCCACTCTGTGAAGGAAAGTCCTCAACACTTGTGTGTCTTTCATCTTCTCTCCAGAGGTTGTTAAGATTAAATTAAATTTGTTTAAAATGTGTACCATATCACCTAGTTCAAAAGCAGTTTTAAAAAGAATAACTTCTGGAACATTCACTGTTGCTTTCCAAATAAGGATATAAACCTGTGTGTGCATGTGCTTTCTTGTTGTTTTTTTATGCTGTCCAATTGGTTCTAATTCATGGTAATCCCAAGAACAACACAACAAAGCCCTGTCTGATCCTGGGCCATCCTCAGAATCACTGCTATGCTTCTCACCATTATGGCAGCCATTGTGTCAGTCCAACTTGTTGCATATTTATTTTTTACTAACCCATGCACTATTCCTTTATATTTAGTTAGGAGGGTCAGTGAAAGAGAGGAAGCCTTTCATTAACATGGATTTATGCAGTGACTGCAGAAATGGCCTTAAGTGTGTAAGAGATGGTGATGATAGCACAGGATAGGAAAGGGGTCGAATCCATTCATAAGGTTGCTGAGTGGTACTCATCTCGACAGCACCTAACAACAGCATATTAAATACTGTAGGAGATGATGGACAGTCTTCTCCCATGTGATTTACAGCCTCTGGAAACCCACTGGAGGATCAACTGTGAGCCACTTCTGACTGGACAACACATAACACCAACAAATAAAATACTTAAGAATACTATGTTTTTGTGATAGGAAGTTATATATGTGTTTGTATATATTTATCAGATATTGTTCTTATGGTTTTTGATGAGACAGAATTTATAATATTTATTACTTCTTTCTAAAAGTCTTGGTTTAAATTTTTAGTTTGTTGAGAATTCCCCGCCCGATCTCTGATATAGGCAGTTGTACGGGCTTGTAGCCATCACCTCCTTATTGGACTTTTCAGTCTTAGAATCTGCATTCATTATTCTTCTATAGATCTAGTACATCTCATTTCTTTAGGTTTTCATTTCAGAACCATTCTAAAGTCTTTATTTCAGCTAACTTTTTCTCTAACAACTGGCTATGTAATGAAAACAAGGGCTGAATAAACAACTTCAGCCTTTGCTTGCTAGTGACGAGGTATTTTCAGTTACTAGCTTGTTTTTATATCCTGAATTTCTAAATTTCTTGTACCATAAGCTTTATGAAATGAAACAGTTGCAATAACGTGAGTTTCCTGAAATTGAAATGTGTTTTTAAGACTGTGCACAGTAATTTTTAACCAGAAGATGGTGCTGTAAGATTATCTGCTAAGGTATAATGTAGTTTCTCAATGAGTTTGCATTTGAAATTTATAGAATGATGAGTACTGTTACAGAGGATTTTAGAGATAAAATATAACATATCACCATTATTTGGGTTGGTTTTTTAAAACACAAATTTTAAATATGGCCATATAGTGGAAACATGCAATTATTATTTTTTTACTTTATTTTTACTTATCTAAATGTAATTTTAAAATCTTTTAACACTTTCTCCCTCTCTCCTTTTCTTTGTGTCTATGATATGTTCAGAGGCAGCTAGAAGTGTATATATATAGGGGTTGAAATAAATTCTAAAGCTGCAAACATTTTCTCTTGTAAATTAGTGAGTTTAATGAGAAAAACTATGAAAAGATTAATTGTATGACATCCCAATTTACAGTGAGATTTCATGGTTAAAACTATTCTATCAAAAGTCAGTTCTAACTTGAGTTGAATTCCCCCCCCCGCATTGTTCCTTCCCTTTTATTAAAATAGCTTTTATTAATTCAGTTTTTACTTGGCTTTGAGGTTTAGAAAAATTTTATCTGAGATTCAGAGCATCAGCAAATTACATACTACAACATTATACCTGGTGGTGGTGGTTGTTATGTGCCTTCAAGGCACCTGTGACTCATAGCAACCCTCTGTACAATAGCTCTGAACCCCCCTGCTCTATCGTAAGCCAGCCTTACTGTCTCTGACACACCTACCCCCATCTGGTATACACTGTTAAAGTGTCCGAAAGAAAATGATGCAGGTGCCTTTTCTCATAACTTGAATATGTTGTAAATTGTGGACTGCTTTTGTATTAATTTAGTAGGAATAATTTATTTACTCCACACCTACTATCCTTTTGGACTGCTAAGAAAACGAACAGGTTCATTCTGGAGAAGGTTAAACCAGGATGCTCCTTGGAGGCAAGGATTCAGAAGCTTTGTCTGATATACTTTGAACATGTTGCAAGGAGTGACCAGTCCTTGGAGAGGGACATCATGCTTGGAAGGATAAAGGGACAGTGCAGGAGAGGAAGACCCTCTATGAGGCAGATTGATTCCGTGATTGGGGTAATGGGAGTAGGTGTGTCGGAGACAGTGAAATTGGCATAGGATAGGGCAAAGCTTAGGGCTGTTGTACATAGGGTTGTAGTGAGTCACAGGCGCCTCCTCAACGGCACATAACAACAACTACTATTCTTTTATTACAAATAACCTTACTCCTGTCCAGTTGGAAAATACCCAGATTTATATTTTTTTATAACGTTGTTATATTTATTGTGGCTGAAATGTTTCTGTACAAAAACTGATTTTTTTTAAAAAAACCTGATATTTTTTTAAAAACCCCTTCTTGTAGATCTTTTTATTTCTGCTTAAATCTTGTTATTCCCACTTATTTTTAAGTTTATCTATCAAAAACAGTATTTCTCCCTCCTACTTTTTAAATGTAATTATTGACATAGATCTTGGATTTTAGATATTTAGGACTATAACTGAATTACTTGTATCATTTTCCAATCTATCTCATACTGTCCCAGTGTGTTATTTCTCTAGTATTCTTAGAACATGAAAGCCACACATTTGTCTTTTTAGTATAGAGATCATGTTGTTGTTGTTGTGTGCTGTCGAGTCTCTTGCGACTCATAGCGACCCTATGTACAACAGTCCTAAACCCTTCTTTGTCCTGTGCCAGTTGCACCGTCTCTGACACACTCACCCTGATTATCCCAGTCACTGAATCAATCCACCTCATAGAGGGTCTTCCCTTCCTGCACTGTCCCTCTATCCTCCTAAGCATGATGTCCCTCTCCAAGGACCTGTCTCTCCTCACAACATGTCCAAAGTATGTCATACGAAGCCTTAGAATCCTTGCCTCCAAGAAGCAGCTGATTTAACCTTCTCCAGGATGAACCTGTTTTCTTGGCAGTCCATGGTACATTCACTACTCTTCTCTAGCACCACAGCTGAAAGGCATCAATTCTCCTTCTATCCTCCCTAGTCATTGTTCAACTCTCTGATGCATAACAAGTGATTGCAAAGACCATGACCTGTATCGGGTGCACCTTAGTCTCCAGAGTGACACCATTGTTCTTCAGTACTTTGGAGAAGTCCCTAACAGCAAACTTTCCCATTGCAATAAGTCTTTTAATTTCCTGGCTGCTGGTGCCAAGAGTGTTGTAGCCAAGCAAACTAAAGCTGTGAGCAGTCGCAATCTCTTCGCCCTCCCTCCTGATGCTGCCAATTGGTCCAGTGGTGAGAATCTTTGTCTTCTTGATATTGAGCCTCAATCCATATTGAAGGCCGCAGTCCTTGACCGTCTGCAGCAAGCGCTTCGGGTCCTCCTCTGTTTCAGCAAGCAGGGTTGTGTCATCTGCATAATGCAAGTTGTTGATAGATCGTCCACCGATCTTGATGCCACACTTCTCATAGAGCCCAGCCTCCCGGATAATTTGTTCTGCATACAGGTTGAAAAGGTATGGAGACAGGACATATCCCTGTCGCACACGCTTCCCAGTTTTGAACCATACAGTGTTTCTTTGTTCTGGCGACTGCCTCTTGGTCCAAGCGTAGGTTTCTCATTAGCATGATCAAGTGTTCTGAGATTTCCATTCT